CTCCTTTTTTTTTTTTCCCTCAAAGCCCCAGTAGATAGTTGTATGTCATAGTTGCACATCCTTCTAGTTGCTGTATGTGGGACGTGGCCTCAGCATGGCCAGAGAAGCGGTGTGTCAGTGTGCACCCGGATCCGAACCCGGGCCGCCAGTAGCAGAGCGTGCGCGCTTAACTGCTAAGCCATGGGGCCGGCCCTCTTTGTGACTTCTTTATTTTCATTTTGAGTAATTGCATACTGTTAATTTAGTTATATAATATATATTTGATAATGTAAACATATCACCCCATTCTTTGGTTAGCTCAAAGTAATAGCTTTATAAGAAGAAATTATATAAAGTTTTTGTATTTTATCAACTCTGTGGGAGAAACAACCAATTGTTTTTTTTTCAGCCCAGCTATCTGTATCACCAGTGATTCTCACACCAAATGCTAAGCGTAAACTGCCAGTAGATTCTTCTCAAGGTTTCTCAAGTAAGAAAAGGAAGTCCATCAAGCACAATTTTAACTTGGAGTTGTTGCCAAGTAATCTCTTCAGTAGCAGTTCTACACCAGTATCAGGTAGCAAATAGAATTTATATAATTGGGTTGTCAACGTTAACATGGGTGCCTATTCTGGGCAAAGTGCTATTTCATATAATACCAGCCTGGAGGAGCCAGAGCTTCATTCTCTGTTCTATCAAATCTCTGAATTTTTGTAAAATCCCTTAACTTTTAAAACACTTTTAGACACTGGTTCAGTATAATTAATATGTGTGTGTGTGTTTTATGGCCATGCCATAAAAAGTTACAATATTGAAAGTTACGATAAATAACTCAGAGTGAGAGTTTGGGCTTCTGTGGATAGCACTGGTGCTCAGGTTCTATGTGATTGGACATCTTGAATTCTACTTTAGTTACCTCCGGGTCTATAGCTGGGGCTATATTGCTGTCTTCTGCTGAGTTGAGGTTGCTAGAGTTTGAGCATCTCTGAATCCAGAGTGGGGGTGTTACCATGGGCGTAACCATTGTGGGTTGCAGTTTGGGGGGGGGGGTATTTTTCAAGTTTCATACTCAAGTAGCTTTTATAAAAACTTTAAAAACTTTGTTTATGCCGTTCCTTGTGGCATGGGTTTCAGATCCCTTACCAGCCCAGCAATTTTCTTCCAAATGAACTACAAGTTCCTAATGTGGTCAACCAGAGCCTCCAGAGAAAAGTATAATATAATCATGCTCATTTGGATACCAGATTTTTGTTAGTGTGGTCTTAGATTGATTTGGCTCCTTTAACATGTGTAGAATACGAGTTGGCTCATATTAACCTTATGGTCAACCCAAAATGAAATGAAACCCTAACTAAGCCCAGAGTCCTCAATCTCATATTTATCTTACATTTAATCAAAATGTGAGTGATCTCTGATTCTTTTAGATTTTTATGTTAAGGATTTCATTTTTAATTCATTAGCTGGGTGATGAAGTCTTCTTCCCAAAAGCCTCTCTTTTGTTTCTGTTATCCAAAAGGTTTATATTTTTCTTGTTTATTTTATTAAAAATTTGAATAGAATAACAACTTGTTCTCTGTGATCTTTCCCAGGTTCTCTATGGTTCATTAAAGTATAATGATAAGAACTCTGAGGCTATGTAGTTCTTTCAGTGTTCAAAGTTTGAAGACTTAAACTCCTTTAAAGTAACTTAGTGTTTTCTTAATATGTAAAGGCTTTTCCACTTTGGAGGACTGTTTCCAAATGGCAAATATGAGTTGTAGTTCTACCTGCCTTTGTTTATTAGCATTACCACTTGTTTATTAGCATTACCATATCTTCCCCAAGAAATGAACTGTTGATTCCTTTGCTCCAAGCTCCCCAAAAATAGGTTAAAAATTCTTGTGTTACTTTAACATTAGTATGACCTTGCTTAACCAGTGTAATTTTTTAATAAAAAAAATTAAGTTCAACATCAGAAATCCTATTATTTGAATTCATTATTTTTCTTTGACCCTACTTTCTCAGCCACAATTCAATAAATTTCATCTACAAAATTGAAAATGGGTTGTTTTGTAAGTTTGGATTATAACAGATATGATGCTTTTTTTAATGTATAAAGCCAACAACGTTAATCTATAATCCATAAAGTACTTATTTATAATTTAATTTTTTTCTTATATGTGTGATAACTTTGCATTATTCCATAAATTCTGGCTGTGCCTCCTTGTGACCACTGATACATTTTTAAGATGACTAGACTGTATCCTTAGAATAAAGCTACCTATGTCACATTGGGTGTGTTATATTTCCTCCAAAATTTTCTTTAGCCAAATGCACCCAAAAGTCACTGTAATGGTTGTATTATTTTCTGTTTTTATAACTGAAAAAACATGGTTGTCTCTGTTTGGGGACTTTTCTTTATTAATACTAATGATGAGTGGAAAGGGTTCATGTTTGTTGAGTATACCCTGGGCATGATTCAAATATAAGTCAAATGTATATGGAGTCTTTATTCATAGCTATTTTATATTTTTCCTGATTTTCTATTATAGTTGGTTTCATGATATAGTATTAAATACCCTAAAACAAAATGAGCTGTTGTAACCATCAGTTGTTAGCATGGAACATGGCAGTAGCCAAGTGGTTATGCATGTGTTATAGATAATTAATTTTTGTTTGTCAAAAATATTGGACAAATTACATGCCAGAGTCAGGTGGACAGGAGTTGGCTAGCAGCTGCATACTGGATACTGAGACTCTGAATTGTTTTTCAATAGTTTATTGTTGATAATGGCATTAATTAATCTTATGTACCAGGTACAGTGCTGGACATTTTATATACATTACAGTAATATTTATATTCATCGTGGAAGTCCATTTTCAGAGCCTAAAGCCGTTTACTAAGTGGTGAGACAAACTCAAGTCTGTCTCGCTCTTTCTCCAGTCTGCAACAGTGCCCACCACTCCCTTGTATTATTAAAAGAATTTAAAGCAAAACTCTAATATAAAAGTAATGTTTAACCTAACCTTTAATAGGCAACTAAAAAGTTAAATTGATACTATTTTTTTTTTTTTTGAGTTGGGTTATTTGGCCCCCGAAGTTTCTAACCAGAAATTATGTGATTTTTTTGTTGTTGCTTAGGGTTAAAAATTAAGACTTTAAATCTAATTGCTATTAATATTTTATACTTTGAAAAGAAAATAAGTATGTATGGTATCTTACATGTGGTTATTTTTATAGTTCACTTTGATGCAAGCCCAGAAGGGTCATCTCAGAGTTCATTCTCTCCTGTAGCCATCAGCGGAAACAATTTGATTAGTACAGATGTGCGGAGGCGAAGTAAAAGGATTGCAAGCAAAAAAGTATGCAGGTAATTTATCCAGGACATTTTATTTTCACTAGATAAATATTTGGTATATATAGTTAATAAAATATTTTGTTTGTCTTTCTACTGAGAATCATATTTGAATCATAAATTTTAAAAATCCCCTCTACCTTTATAGTCTTACTAGTCAAGTTTCCTTTATATATCCTCCAGAGAAAGATTCCTAATTTGAGTCTACTTTGCTTGCTTAAAATCCTATTTTATGGTGATGTGTATAATTTTAAAATTTCCTGTTAATTTTAAAAGCTAGTCTGGTCTAAGGATGCTGGTGTATAGCCAACTAACTCTTGTGATAAAGGAAAGATCATTTTTATTTGCAAATACAGTATGTTTATATATGGTATCTTAAAGCTTAACTGATTTTAGAAAATTATTACTCTATTCAATTACTAGCAATATGATTTGCTCCAGACTTTCAAATTTCATTTTGCAAGAATTTCTCCAGTTTTTATGCTGTAAACTGACATTTTTAATTTCACTCTTCTTAGGGTGGAATCAGGAAAAGCAAGTTGCTTCTCTCCTAAAATCAGTCGTAAAGAAAAGGTTCGAAGATCTCTTCGTTTGAAATTCAGTCTGGGGAAAAGTAGCAAAGATGTAGTAAGTATCTTTCACCATTTCATTGATGTTCACATTAGCGTAAAGCTGTAGATTTGATGCTAAAAGACTCTCTCAACCCTGTCTCTCCTCCATCTACTGTCCCATTCTCTATCCCTCTTTATTACCAAACTCTTACACTTGAGTTGCTATCTCCAGTTCTTCCTTTTCTCTTCTGCTTAAGTCAATTCCAGTGAGGCTTTCATCCCCAACACTCTCATCAGGGTCACCCATGAATTCAACATTGCTCGAACCAGTGGACAAATATCAGTCCTTGTTAGACTTGTGCTGTCTGCCGCATTTGACCTGGCTGATCATTGTCCTCTCTGGCATACTTTCTTTCCCTGCATCAAGGACCTTTTACTCTCCTGGTTTGCTTCCTTTTTCACTGGTGACTTTTCTAATTCCTTTATGTTGGAGTGCCCAAGCTTTGTCCTCAGACTTCTCTTTTCTCTCTCCACTCACTCAGGGTGATCATCAGCTTTAAACATCATATGCTATTTACTTAAGACTTCCAAGTTTATATCTCCAGCCCAGAAGGCTCATCTGAACAACCTGACTGTTTGTTGTTGACATCTACCTACTTGACTTCCCTATTTCGATGTGGATCCAATAGATATCTCAAGTGTAACCTGTCACAAACGGAGTTCTTAAGATGCATTTCTTCACTGCCACTGTCTCTCCGCTCCTCCCCCTCACCCCCAAAAACACTTCTGCTTGCAGTCTTCACCATCTCAGTTATGGCAGCTCATTCCTCCAGTCGCTTAGGCCGAAAACCATGCAGGCGTTCTTGACTCCTCACTTTCTCTCACACGCCCTGTCTAAACCATTAGAGAATCCTGTCTAACTTCTGCTTTCAGAATATATCCAGACTGACCACTTCTCACCAGTACTACATTTCTAACCTTCTCCAAGTTCTGTCATCTTGAACTTGGATTGCGGCGATAAGCTCCTACTAGAGGTCTACCTGCTTCTACCTTGCTGTAGTACTATAGCCAAAATTATCCTTTTAAAACCCAAGTTAAGTCATGTCACTCCTCTGCTCAGAATCCTCCAGTGACTCCTCATTTCACTCTGAAAAAAAGCCAAAGTTCTTTAATTGACCTGCAATGCTCCACATGGTCTGTTCCTGGCCCACATCTCCGAGCCTTCCTGCCACTCCCCCTTGCTCACTTGGCTTTGTCCTCTCTTGCCTCCTTGTTGTTTGTTGAATGTGCCAGACCTGGCTTCAGCCCTAGACTGGCATTTTCCTCTCCCTGGAAAGTTCTTCCCCCTTATGCCTTCATGACTCTCGCTCTCATTTTTCTTTACTCACAAATCATCTTCTGGTCACTCCGTTTAAAATTACACCCTCCCCTTCACCACTCCGTGTCATTCTTAATCCTGCTTTCCTTTTTTCCACAGCATTTTCACCTTATGTATTGTATATTATGCAATATAATTTACCGTTTATCTTATTTTGGTCAAAATTTCCCCATCTAGAATGTAAATTCCATGAGGATAAGATTTTGGTCTGTTTTGTTTTTTCTTTCACTGTTGCGAACCAGCCCTGGCACAGAGCCAGCATAAAATTGTTTTTTTTTTTTTTTCAGTAATGAATATATGGGGCTGTTTTTATTTTAGATCATAAAATATCAACTAATAGCCAAGTCAGATGCTTACAATTTTCATTAGCATGCATGCAAATGAATATATTTGTGTTTGCTATAAAATTGTTTCTCAATTATATGTTCCTTTTTTAATTAGCTGTAGAGGTTTCTGGTGACTACAAAAAATTTACTTTGTCTTAATATTTTGAATTAACTAGATTTATTTCTTAACCAAAACTTTTTCAATTTTTCTTTTCTGTACAGAATGGGTGTTCTGGTGTCAATAGATGTGAAAATGTTGGTCGACGACTTGCAAATCAACAAAGTTTAAAAACTAGAATTGAATCTGTAAAAACAGGTCTGCTTTTTAGCCCAGATATTGATGAAAGATTAACAAAGAAAGGTACATTTATTTACATGATGTTATTAGAGTGCTACCCAAAAAGTCTACTTTAGTTGCTTGTTAAATAGATTTTTTCCCAGCTTTATTGAGATAAAATTGACATACAACCTTTAGTTGCTTCTTTAATGGCAAAATTTGTTAAGTAATTTATTGTTCTAGAAATTTAAAATTCGTGTTTGAATGGTGAAAATATTTGAATTGGCAATGTATTTTTCTTTTTCTTTTTTTTTTTTTTGTGAGGAAGATCGGCCCTGAGCTAACATCCGCCAATCCTCCTCTTTTTGCTGAGGAAGACTGGCCCTGGGCTAACATCCATGCCCATCTTCCTCCACTTTATATGGGATGCCACCACAGCATGGCTTGACAAGCAGTGCGTCGGTGCGCGCCCAGGATCCAAACCCGCGAACCCCGGTCCGCCGCACCGGAACGCTCGCACTTAACCGCTTGTGCCACCGGGCCGGCCCCAGCAAGGTATTTTTCTATGAACAATTGGAGGATGCTTATAAATGTAAATATGAAAATGTTGACGTTTTTATATTAAAAATTATTTCTTTTAACACAAATCTTTAATTTATTGGATTTAAATGCTTAGTTTATTTGCCATGTATTTGGATAGTATTTCAAAACTAAGTCAAATATAAATGATTAAAAACACTGAACTGCCTTATTTTAGGTTCAAAAAAGATCAGTAAGTCTGAGGAAAACTTATTAACTCCAGAGCGACTAGATGGAACAAGTTACCGGATGTCTTGGACAGGACCTAGCAATTCAAGTTTTCAAGTAATAGATGCACATGAAGCTTCTCCAATAGAAGGGAATCTTGAGGTGGAAAACTCTTCTTTGGAGCCTGATAGTACGGTTGAAAAGTCACCTGTTAGTTCATATGAACTCACCCCTTCTAATGTACACAATAACCATAATAACAACAGATCTGGAAGCTCTCTTATTGGGGATGAAAATGGCTTGACCACAGAGACTTTGGTGAAAATTCAGAAAGCATTTTCTGAAACTGGAAGTAATCTTCATGCATTGATAAATCACAGGCAGTCATCGGTAACTAATGTGGGGAAAGTAAAATTAAATGAAACATCTTCTATGGAACATAGCCTAGAGAAAAACCTACTTGAAACTAACGATTCGACTGTGATAGAATCGAATGAACACCACACCAATAAAGATGAAAATAGTTCTTCAGAAAGAGACTTCTCACTACATCAAACTCAGAAATCGGATAGAGAAGCAACTATAAAATGTTACTCAACTCAGATAAAGATGAAATGTGAAGAAAGCATTCATTCACATATACCAAAAGATCATTTAAGCAATCAAGAATTGCCCAGTGATGAACAAATAAAGAAACAACAGTCCCCAAGGGATAAACTAAATACTAAATTAAAGGAGAATGAGAGTATGATTGAAGAAAACTTACTGAAATGCGCAGCTTCTAGGGAGGACGCAGCTAACGCCTCTTCCTCAGAGCAGATTACCTGCAATATAACAAACTTGTCAAAACCGAGGCCTGTGAGAATTGTTAAACAGCAGTCACTGGTGGAAAGACGTGATAAAACGGTTTCTGAAGGTTTACAAAGGACAGAGCATGGGAAGGTTTCAGACCACATACAGTGGTTTAACAAGCTTTCCTTAAATGAACCAAATAGGGCAAAAGTTAAATCACCTCTTAAGTTTCAGCGGACTCCTGTCCGGCAGTCTGTCAGAAGAATTAATTCTTTGCTGGAGTATGGCAGACAACCTATAAGGCATGAATTGGCAAGTCTCAGCAATGCTGCTTCTCCTCTGATTAAATCAGTGAGCTGTGACAGCGCTCTTTCCTCTGGTATAGAAAGTACAAAGTCAAAAGATTCCTCTATTTCATGTACCAAGTCAGGTCCTAAAGAACAGAAGTCTATACCATGTGAACAGTCAAATGTTGATGCAGTTTCAAAATCAAGCATGAAGTTAACTTCTAAATCTTTCTCACAGATCAAGAGGCACCCAGACTCCGTCAGTGCTTCTCTTGGGTCTACTAGAGTTTGTAAACAGGAAGTGATATCTGATGGCCAAATTAAGATTCCCTTGGATGATCTGACAAACCATAATGTATTAAAATCTGTCGTAAATAATAACATGGGCTTTTCTGGGATAAATAACAGGATCCTTAGGAAACCGTCAGAAAGAGAAAGAATGTGGTATAAAGGATCTCCAAAAAATCCTATTGGAAAAGTTCAACTACTACCAACAAGTAAACCTGTAGACTTGTAATTGGTAAATGTTACACTTGTCATGAATGTAAATAAAATTAGCGACTGGGGACATGACTTGCAGGGTAATCCAGGTATTAGTCTGTAGCTCAGGAGGATTGTTATGTGATAGATTTTAATTTCACTGCACACGCAACTTGGATTATTAGGCTTGCATAAATGACTTATTTATGCAAGCATATTATTTGTTTTTATTACTTATGGCAATATTTAAACTTTAATTTTATTGTGATCTCTTAAAGCAGAGTTTAAACTTTACTTTTTTAAAGAAGTTGTTGACTGGGTTTATAAGAAATTAATTTTTGAAAATTGCATGAATTTTATTTTTTAAGTGTGCTAGGAAGAGTGGAACGAGTTGTGTCTATTTCCTGTTTTTCCTCTTAAGTCATAGGTTTCTGTAAGAAATTTCTAACATATAAAGGGAAGAGATAAGCCCTGCAAATTGTATTTCTTGAATTACATTAATGTTCATTGTCATTACCAAAATCCCTAGAAATTAATTTGCTTCAACAGTATCTTCATCCTTTATTCCTATTTGGGGCAGAGTAATTATGTTTATGTTGCCTGTAGGTGTGTACAGTGTGTTCACTGAACTAAGCGTAATGGCTAAAGCAGAATAATGACTCAAGTGTGCTCATATATAGTATAATGCTGTAGAAGTAATTGATGACTTTTAAGCCATACTATATTTTTAAAGTTAATTTGCACAAATACATTTGTGTCTGTTTTGTCCAATATAGAGTTTAAAATTATGTGAGGGGGAATAATTAAGCTTGGAAAATTTTAATCATGGTGGTTTCTTATATGCAGATGCTTGATTTTAGAATTTGAAATAGTTGCACCTCTGGACATTTACCTTGGATTCTTATACTTTGGATTCTTATAAAAGCCTATGATGGTTTTGTCTTGTGTGTAAATGTTATTTATTTAGCATAGACTTTAAAGATAACTTTCTGGAAAATGACTTACCTGAGACTCTAGTGAATTCAAAGTACCTTTTAGAATTTGACTCAAATTGTCAAGCAAATCTATCTAAATTTATATTTTAAATTATTAGAAGTTACAAATCTTTAAGGAAAGAATAATGTCAACAATAGGGGATATTCTCTTAAGTTTTAGAGGAGGAGTATGCCAGCAGAATCACCCACTAAAGATAGTTTTGCAGGTCAGTTGTTAGAATGCCACATTCAGATGTTGGGCAGACTAGAACAGCATTGCACACCGACTCAGCACCCACACTTACAGTGTGTCTATGGACGAGGAATTTCAAGTCATCAGATGTTTGCTTTACCAAGTCCTGCTTGATAGCAGTACATCTGTTTTATTTCAAAGCTATTTCCTGTTTCTATATTTATTACTTAGGAATCAACCCTTTCTCAGGACTAATAAGTATTTGACTTATATAAAGACTGTAAAAATCTGTAGATATAAATAAACATCATGTTTATCCAACATCAAAATAGGTTTGTAATACAGACTGGATATGAGTTTCAGATATATATATGGTATTTCTAATAGTAAATAGAGATAGAAAATATTCATAAACTCAAATATATGTTGTCTGGTTCAAAGCAATTTTTTAAACTTTTAAATTTTTAAAAATTAATTAACGTCATTTTATATCCATGGGGGTGGGTGAAATGTTGACTTGGAAGACTAATTCAGTAAGAAGGCATAGGAGATTAACTGTCCAAATCACCTGAATTAGTGGCTTTTCTGAGAGGTGAATCAGTAATCAATATGAAATATTTATTTTAAAAAAATCCCCACATGTCACTCCCATTTTGTTAGTGAAAGTAGAGTATAGGACTATGAAAGTGAATAGTTTAGAGTGGTAGTAATTGGAGAGTTGGGAATGTTGAGTTTTAGACTTGACTTAACCTCTTTTCATTTTATACAAAATAAGGCTAATAATGTTACTAATCTCGTGGGGATATCTGATCAAATGATATACAAACATATTTAATAAAGTTAAAATTGTCTGGACATGTGCAGTACTTCAAGGATTATTTTCACCTTGTTCTTACAAGTAAAGATCTAATATTAATCTGATTGTTTATCTTATGAGCAACAAACAATTACATAGAACTTAAATTAGTAGGCTGCTTGGCAGCATTCCATAATCACTAAGAATTTAATGCAGGATTTTGATAATCGTCAACCCCAGGATATATATGATAGATGTTTTTAAAATATCAAATTTCATAGGAAGCATAAACACTTTGGTGTATTTTAGTCAAATTTTCATTCAACACAAAAGCACTAAGTTGTAATGACTTCTCTATTTTTCCAAGCGCGAAACGAAGGTAACAGTGAACGATGTTAAAATTCAGAATTGGAAAAAAAAAAACACCTCAGTACGTGCGAATAATAAATACTAAACCCCAGCATGGTTTTTGAGCCTAGAACCAATAGACAGTATCTGTCCTGTTGCTTTAGCATGCACTGAAACAAAAAGCTGGGCGCAGAAGGGGATCCATGGAAGAAAAGGCACTAGCAAGGAGGCTTGGCTTCAAATTTAAAGGCCATGTGTCTCATGAATGAATTTTGCAGCCCCCTCTTTGAAGAAAATTGCTGTAGATGATGATGGATTTGCTGCATAGAGCCAGGGTAAAGAGATCTGGATTCTAACTTCATCAAGTGACTTATTCTCTGACCCCCAGTCATTTGACTCCTCCCCGGTCTTGAAAGAAATTTTCAACACTATATTATATGGTTTCACATTTCAATTTTTGTATTTGAACAAAATTCGAATGTTCAAGGTTGGTCTATGAATCTTTAACAAAATTCTGGGTCTACTTGGATAATTTCTGCAATGTGTCTGGAGTATTCTCTTCAGGCTGAAGGAATTTTACTTGATGGTTGATATGGAATTTTAGAAATAACACTCAGAAATAATATTCCTAAAAGTTTTCACGTGCTTTTGGTGTATCACTTTAACAGAAGTTTCTAGCATCTTGTATTAGTTTTCCTGCTCCATGAAAGGGCTCCTGAAATCACCCTTATGATATAGGCTATCATTGCCATCATTAAAAGTTCTTAGGACCTCTTCATCTTTTGTCTCTTCTACCATTGCCTCAGTGCCTCTTCCCTCTTCAAGCTAAAAGACTTAAAAAAGAAAAAGCTGGAAGATGGCAAAATTAAAGGTGTGCTATTAGGAGCGAAGGACAGAAGTGGATCTGGCACATTGTTTTTAGGTAATTGCTTGAGAAAAGGTGAATTACTTCCACAGGGGTCGATAGAGGAAGAGGGTCTCTAGGAGACGCGTACGTGGAATGCTTGGGTTGAACGCTGTGTGGCAGGAGGCACCAGCATCCGGCTTGCGCTCTGGGGAGTCCTGGCGAGGCGGCCTCCACCTGCGGGAGGAAGGACGGGGGCGGAGCTAAGATGCGATGCGGAGCGAGGTGACGCACAAGCGATTCAGATCACCCCGCTCCGCGCCGACCCCCACCAAGGCCCAGACCGCAGCAGGCTCCTCCGGGTGCCCCTCGGTGAGTCCTGCGTTGATGCTGGCTCGACCTCCTGATGCCCACCCGAGACAAGCGGGTTATTCTTCGGGATCGGGAGTGGGAGAGGGCACCCTGCTAAAATCGTTGAGCTGGAGGCCGAGGCAGACAAAGGGGCAGACAAAGGATGGGTGCGAGATTAGGAATTTCGGCTCTAAGTAAGAGGGAAAGAGTACCAAGGGAGGAAGATTGGGTAGATCATTACATCAGAACGGTGTGGGCTGGGGGTGTAAACGAAACAGGAAGACATCCTGCATTCAGAGCGGACGAGGGAAAGATGGAGATGGCTGGAGAGGCTGGTGTCTGCCTCCGGCTTTTTCCGTCAGAATTGCAGGCTTTGCTGTCTCAGCTCTTTGGGGAACAAGGTTTTATATCTAGGAGTGGCCAGAAAAAGCCTTTCCTTTACAGAAAAAGAAATTGGGAGTTATGAATATTTCCATTTCAGGGAAGAAAATGCATGCCCCGCCTCCCCAGGATGGTCAAAAGGAGGGTTTGCACGGCCACTGCCTGAAGCTTCCCTCCTAAAGAGGGTCACCAGCTGCAGAGGGAAGATGCAAGAATATTTGTCCCCTTGTTCTACAGGCTGCTGGTTCCACAGAAGCCAACATTTAGGATAGGCTGACTCCCCGACTAGTTTTCTCCCTCTCCTTCACCTGTTCTGTCTTCCCTCTCATCACTTCCACTTCCCCAGATTCTAACCTCCAGAACGGCAAGGCAATATTAACATAATAATAGCGGTACAAGGGGCTCTGTGCCTGGCATTGTTCTGATCCTTCATGCATGTGATCCCACACTTATCCTCACAACAACCCTATACGACAGATGCTTTATTCATCCCCTTTTTGCAGAGGAGGAGGCTGAAGCATTTGGCCAAGATCACCCAGCTAGTATGTGGTGGAGCGAGCATACCTCATCTCTACCAGATATGTAGGGTGGGCCTGAGCGTCATGTGCTTTCATTGCCCCTCGGGATCTCAAACGTATTAGATGTTTGCTAAGATAAGGTGTTCCCTTCCACCACTCCTAACGTTCCTGTGATTCTTTACCATGTGTGTCTTCCTAACCCCTTCCTGTGAGCCTTTCCTCTCCGGGGCTGGGAACACGCAAGATGTTACTCTCCCTCTCCCTTTCTCAAAATTGAAGCCAGGATTTGTTGTTGTTTGTTTGTTTTAGTAAGAGAGGGAGAGAGCGGTGGGATTAGGGGTAATGCAGAACTTTCAGGGAGTTGCAAGGAGAATGGATAAAAAATGAGTAAGAACTACCATTCCAGTCTAGTCTTCCCAAGAATGCAAGCCCAGAGGGCATTGGCTATCTCGGACTGTTTTGTTTCTTTAATACCTTCCCACAGCAGATGTCCTGGCTGGAGTGGACACTTGAAGCAAAAGCAAACCCTTAAGGATGTTTCCTGGCAGCCATTTTCTGGGTGGTGCTTGAATCACTCCCTGGAGCAACTGCATGATTGCATCGTCACAGTTGCCAATTGTGGCCAGTCTATGTATGTTTGGTCTTTTTTCTGCAGGTTAAAAATGGTCTCCAG